ATATTGTGTTGTATACAAGTCATACCTCAATAAATTTGATATTTTTAAAGCTAGAGAAACTGAAAAATCTAAGTAAAAATAGAATTTAGGCCACTATGGAGCACGACTGAAAAATGTGTGAACTCCCATTTATTAGGGATTTTAATTTTTTTAAAGTGATAAATGATTACTGACTACACAGGAATAGCAAATTGTCATTCCTTTCACATTATGATTATGAGGGGAGTGAAGGGCCTCAAAGTATAGAAGGGAAACTAATTTGAAACTGTTTGGATAAAATAACACCTTGGCACCACCGTCAGCATACCAGTCCAATCAGCTGCTAAATTCTCTGTAGGTGTCTGAGGGGAGATTAAGCTTGCTGCGTGATGAGCCTTCTTGAAATTGTGTCATGTTAGGTGAAACAGGACTGAAATGGTAACGTCTACCTAGTCCAGTTCTTTCGTTATAGAAATAGTTGAAAATATAAGGAAATAGCAAATTTAAGTGAAAGACACTTGGGATTTTCTAGGCAAATGGTGTAGCTGTATGTAGTATTTAAATTTTAGCAACGCATTTGAATGATCTCTCTCTTGATATTCTTAAGGATAAGATCAAGAGCTATAACGTGCATGGAGAGTTTAGCTTCATAACTATAATGATCATACCTGAAGCTGTCAAGCTACAAGGAGACTTTTATCCTCATTCCTCTCTTGAATATGATTAGCATCCTTACAGATAACTCTGAGGACATCATTAGCATACTGATTTTTTAAAACTTATTTTTTGTGAAAACTAAATTTTAATAAGCTGAAATTATAGTCCACGTCTACAAAATACAAACTATTTAAGTCCAAAAAAGAGAAGTAAACAAATGTTGGAAGGGGAAAATGTTTTGTAAAAACAATGCAAAAACAATAACTCTCTGGGGTTGTAGCTGAATATAATTTTAATAGGAGTCAGTAGAGTGACTTTGGCTGCCATGATAATCACAATAATGGCTGATAAATTTTTTTATCCACCTTAAGGAAAATGAACATAGGTTCGTTTTTTTGTTTTTTTGTTTTTGGACTTTTATTCCACATATAGTTGAGATCATACAGTATCTGTCTTTCTCTAACTTAACAGAATGCCCTCAACGCCCACCTACAATATGTTGTCACAAATGTCAGGATTTCCCTTTTTTATGGCTGAATGATACTCTGGGGTGTGTGTGTGTGTGTGTGTGTGTGTGTGTGTGTGTGCGCGCGCGCGCGCGCACGTGTGCGCACACACGCGCGAGTGTGACATTTTCTTTATCCATTCATGGACACTTACATTTCCATGTCTTGGCTATTGTGAATGATGCTGCATTGAACATGCTATCTCTTTGAGATCCTAATTTAAATTCTTTTGTATATATACCCAAAGTGGAATCACTGGATCATATGATAATTCTATTAATTTTTTTGAGGAACCTCTATACTGTTTCACATAGCGGCTGCCCCTGTTTATGTTCCCATCAACAGTGCACAAGGGTTCCCTTTTCTCCACATCCTCACCATTACTTGTTATTCCTTGTGTTTTTGATAACGGCCTTTATAACAGGTATGAGGTGGTATCTCATTGTGGTTTTGATTTGCACTTCCCTGATGAGTAGGGATGTTGAGCATTTTTTTGTGTACCTGTTGGCTATCTGTGTGCCTTCTTTGGAAAAAAGTCTATTTTTTTAATCGAATTGTTTGGATTTTTTGCTCTTACGTTATATGAGCTCTTGATATTTTTGGATATCCTCTTACCAGATACATGATTTGAAAGTATTTTCTCCCAATTGGTAGGTTGCCTTTGCATTGTGGTGGTGGTTTTCTTTGCTTTGAAGAAGCTTTTTAGTTATAAGTAGTCCCACTTTTTTATTTTTGCTTTTGATGTCAGATCGTCACCAAGACCACTGTTAAGGAGCTTTACCGCCTGTGTTTTCTTCCAGGAGTTTTATGATTTCAGGTCTTAGATTCAAGGGGAAGATGAAGATGAGACTCACTCCAGTTTGTGTTGATCAGATCAAATCTAGAGTATTGTATTTACTTTAGGGACATCCTATTATGCCCTAAAAAGAATGTTGAAAAGCTGAATTTTGCATAAGAGCTTGAAAGAAGCAGCATAGACAACAAATTTTACTAGATGATTTTCCAACTTTAAATTATTCTGTAGGTAGACAACTTTTTCTTCAAAGAAGGAGACTCCTAAGAGAAACCTATCAAGACAATAATATTCATTTAGTTTATAGTATGTTTTTTCTTTCATACTACTTTTGTAAATCTATTATAAGGTTCTCGTTAACATCTTAGAAAGTTAAGAATGAGGTCCAGTCTAATTGTCCTAAATAATGAATAGACTTCTGTATCATCTACAGCAGAGTAGAGTCCATTTATTCTTGTTCCCTTCCCAACCCTCAACCAGTTATGTGGTTTTGGGCACCTTCCATTATAACTGGTTGGTACTTAGGAAATTATGTTTTAGTGTCTGTGTAGAATTATTTAGGGTAGTAATTACTCTGAAACATTATATTATGTGGAGATTGAGATACAACACTCATCTCATTTTTCAGCTAGGAAATTTGAGTCCCTTTTCTTTTCAACCTTCCATTATATAGACCTGGATTTCTGCTTTTTCACTGCTTTTGTTATAGAGATCTTACAGAAGGAGTATTATTAAATGAGATAAAAGTTAGGAAAGCAGTTTGTAATCAGTATAGGATTACACAAGGATAAGATGGTGTTATTTCAAGTTGCAGCTATATGTAACTTTGGCCTGTAATAGATTTATGCTAAACAGCTCTACCAGGGTTATATCACTAGCTCAGCAATCATATTTATATCTTGTTACTTGTGTAGTAAGTACTTTCCTGGTCAGAAATGTTCTCTCCTCAACCCTCTAGTTATATTTCTATCTACCTTATTCTTGCTATATTTCTTCGTATCAAGTTTGTTGAAAAGATTGACACCACCCATCAAAAACACCTTTATCTTCCCTTCTTGTAACTTATCATGCCGCCATATTTTCACATGTACCACCCATTTATTGTTATTTTTAATTTCACTGGAGACAGAACCTCTCTTCAAAGATTAACACCTTTTCTGTGAACTAAATACCAGGTCTCTGACTGAAACACAGAGCTCCACCACCAACACCACCATCATTTATCCCCCTTCTAATGAAGACAAGGTCTCTCCATCTAGAGAAAGCTTTGATTCAGACCCATTTTTCTCCATCTGTTTTTACCTCCCTGTGTTACTGCAGAACATTTTAAGCAAATAATGTTTATAACTGACATCACATTTTCTTTCAGTGGAAGAGGGACTGCGAAGTTGTAAAACAGTCCTGGGCCTAAAAGTCATGACAACAAGATAATTGTAGATTGTGGTAAATGCTATGAAGGAAATAAACTGCGAAGTAAGAGAGTAATTAGAGAAGAAGGGTTACTTTGTAAAAACAGTGATTTGAAATGAAAATTTTGTCTGAGAGAAATATTTCAAAATCTTGATCTCTGGGAGGGTGTGGAAGTTTAAATGAAAATGTGAAAGCATATATAATAAGTTTATTTGCAAACCGTCCATTTTTAACAGTGTTTAACTTTGATTTTATAGTCTCATTTTAAGGCAAAATATTTCCTAATGGTTGGTCATTGTCAAACTTCAGAAGTTTTGTATATCTGTCCTCTCCAATATTCAATAAAGAAAAATAACCTTGACTAGGACATTATATGCATCTCATTGTAATTGATTCAACAGATGTGTATTGAATACTTACTGCACGCCAGGCACTGTACTGGGCACTGGGGATGAACAGGAATAAACTAGACAACCCTTTTCCCTCAACTAAAGCAGATTTAGGGGTAACATAAATAAAGTTGTTGTTGACTTTAAAATAGATTTAGTGTGGCCACTATGAGGAAGTTTGCTACTCGCTAGTTTTAAGAAGGTATTTTAAGAATATATTAGCGCCAGCCGAGTGGCGCATTTGTTAGGAGTTGGCTTGGGACACCAGCTCTGAGCAGCAGGGCCCCGGTTCAGATCCCACATTAGGGCCAGTGACACTGCCCTCTACAGCTAAGATGGTGAACAACAGCTTGACCTGGAGCTGGGCTGCCGTGAGTCGCCGGCAACGGCATAGGCTGCAGTGGGGCTGGCCAGCAGCTGGCATGAGCTTTCGTGAGCTGCCGTGAGCCACTGTGAGTGGCCGTCCAATGGCCGGCGAGCAACTGCCTCAGCCGGGAAGAGCACAGTGATCACGATGCCAACATGGGCCAGTGAAGCAGCATCCTCCATAACTAGACTGAAGAACAAAAGGACAGCAACTTGTCTGTTCCCCTTCCCCGATTCCCCAATAAAATATATATTTTTAAAAAGTATATTAATACTACCTTTAAGAGTGGTTTTAATTTATCAACCAAACTTTCATATTCTAGTAGTTTGCATTCTAAACAGAAAGTGAACACAGGTGGAAAAAAACACATGAATCAAGCTGTTACAGTGATTACTATATAAGTGAACAGTGAAAGATCGCTTTCAGTTGAGTTAGTTATGGGGAAGCTTCACTCAGGAGTTGGAATATATGTTAAGTCTTAAAGGATGGGTATGAATAAGTGGAGAATAGAATGAAAGCTGATTTGGGACGTGGGTGTAGGAGTGGAGCATTGGTCACTGAGATGGTATTAAATATCAAGGTATATTTAAAGAACATGGTAAATAGGCTTGCCTGGATTGAAAGGTTTGTATTGGTAAATAGTAAAAGATACAGCAAAGTCTTTTAGTAGAAAACAAGATTTTGGCTGTACCATATTAGTAGTTAGTAATGTGTTCCTCTAATCCTAAATTCATTTACAGTCTATTTTAATATTTCTTATGTAAAGGGGTTATCACATTGTACAGTTTGCAATTGTATCATGATTCTAAATAAGTCTTTACACCCCTAAATATCGTCTATAGATTGTGAGGCCAGAGTATTTAGCCCTACTCAGGTTAAAATGATGTTTTGTTTTTCAGTTACTTACACGCCAAGTCAATCATCCACAGAGACCTCAAGAGTAATAGTATCCTTCCTGAAATTTGTCTGCGAAGTTTGAAAACATCCTGACTTTTGCTTCTGCACTTTGTCTTCACATTATGTAAAAACAGTTTCATGCTAAGTTAAATCTACTGTAATGAGAATTAATAAATGAGTTTGCATGAAAGTGTAGTAGAGTAAGTTACCACAACCTGCTTTTGGTTTCTGAACGGTTGAGCATCGGAAAAAAAAATCCCATATTCATGGTAGTAGGGCCGTTTCTGATTACTGCTTTCGTGCTGTCAACAGTATGACACAGTGTCGCAGCTGTCTCCTAGTTGCTTTTAGCACGCTGACCATGTTCTACAGTTGAGTTGTAATGAAGGCTCTAAGTTACGTCACAATGAGGTGAGAAACACATAGTTCTTCCTCTTCCTCCGTAAACTCAGATTCAGATCCTGTCTGCCAAACACCTTCATCCAGGGAAAGACTTTACCGCTTTCCCAGCGGTGTCAAAACAGATATTCGAGCCTCCATTACTAAAATCTAACGGGAAAGTTTCAGTCACCCAGACACCTAGGAAAGCATCTCACCTCATCCTACTACATTCCAGGCCCCAAAACCTTAAAAGCAGGTCTTACAAGCCAAATAGACATAATTATTTTTTTAAACATTAATTAACTGTAAGAGGAAATATGAAGTGCTGTACTTCTAAAAAGAATATATACAGAATGACAGAAATTAGAGCTCTTACCTAAAATTTTCATAACGCTTGCTCTGATAGGAAAATGAGATGTATTGTTTTCCTTTACTTGCTACCCCACAGATATTTTTCTTCACGAAGACCTCACAGTAAAAATAGGTGATTTTGGTCTAGCCACAGTGAAATCTCGATGGAGTGGGTCCCATCAGTTTGAACAGTTGTCTGGATCCATCTTGTGGATGGTAAGAATTGAGGCTTTTTCTTCATTAATTAAATTTTTGGACCCTGAGATGCTGCTAGAAAGTCATTGAAGGTTTCAACTATAGTATCTTCCTAGCTCCCAGTGTTCGCAAAAATCAATGTTGATCTTATTTTTTGTGTAAATAGGTTTTAACTTTTTTCTTTATCTTTAAAAAGAATTTATGAAACCAGTTTCAGCATCCTTCAAACAGAAAAATGTGTATTTTATAAACAGTTTAAATTTTATTCGGAATTGTCTCTTTAGAATATTTTGAGTCCAAACTGTTCGGTACGCTAAGTATGCAATTTCAGCAGGTGTGATCTGCAGCCCTTATTAAGGTTTTGTGAAGAGAACTGCTCCATTTAAGAGAGGCCATTTTACCATCTTACTTAAGCCTAATATTGGAAAGTTACTTCCTTTAGACTAGAAAGAACCGTATAATTATGGGGCAACTGGAAAAGGAAAGAAAAAATGAGAGGTAGAGTTTTAATACTGTCACCTTTGTGCTGCTATGTATAGCTCTTTCTTTCTCTTTATTCATTCTTTTTTCTGCTTTGTGGAAAGAAGAAAGAGAAGATAGGGAAGAAGGGAACTAAAACCTCGCAGTTACCTTCAGCAGGCTATGAAAAGGGCAGCCTGGAAATCATTCTTTTAAGTCAGTAATTCTCAAAAGAGTCCCTACGGCCCATTTAGAAGTCCTCAAGGTCAACAGATTGAATGCAGAAGCAAATATGGGACTCAAGCTGGCTGCTGTTAACCCAAGCAGCCAAAAAGAATTGACTATTTTTCTCACTAAGCTTTTTTGTCTTTGAAAATATAGCTACTTTTCACTAAAATGCGTGATCTGTGTTAGCAGCTAATGGTTTTATTGTTTAAATGAATTAATACATACTTTAAGTTTCTCAGTTAAGTTTTAATATAATTATCCACAGGTATAATCCCCATAAACAAAAGCTCCTTGGGGGTCTTCAATCATTTTAAGACTGAAAGAGTCCTGAGCCCAAAAAGTTTGAGAACTGCTGCTCTAAGCTGGATACAGGGCGTCCCAAATCTACTAGTGCAATTTTTAAACTTTAAATACCAAAATCTGTACTTGGGGACCCCCTGCTGGAAACGGAAAAGTTGCAAGGGTCTAAAACCACACTTGCCTGAGTTCTTTGAACTCTGTCTATATCAGTTCCCAGGAAGGGAATTCCAAGGTACGATTCTGCACCAGTCGAGATAAGACTAGGGTTAAATTCAGCTATGATTTCTTGTAATAATAACTAAAATGAAAGCAAATGGCAAGATGGGAGGGTGGATTGGACTTAGAGTTAGGAGGCTTGTACTCTAATGCTCTGCGTGACTCATAACCTGCACGTGTCTCAGCCTTCCCCAAGTCTCCATCTTTACCGCTGGGGTGCACTAGTGGATTCCTAATGCCTTTTCCATTTGTAAGATTCAGTCATTAGAGCTAGCTAAATTTTTTCCTTAATATATGTTTGACTGTTTTAAAAAATAACTATAAACAAGAGGCTAATTAATCCTTGTACTCCAGATTTCAGGCACCTTTAAGGCACACACCTTGTAACAAAGATGGCAGTGTATCCGAAGAAGAGGCAGGGAAAACAGATTTTAAGTACTGAAATTGCAAAACCTAAACTTATAAAGCAACAGCCGATAACATGTTTTAGAGTTGTGTTGATTTTAACAAGTGTGGGGAAGACAGGTTCAGTCAAGTCTCCAGCTTTGTCCTTTTTCAGATACCTATAGATTTTTATATATGAAGTTTTATATTTTCTTCTAATTTCTTTTTTGTTGATATCTGGGTAGATAGGTTCTTCCATTATTCCACCAAGCTGAGTTTTAAGATAACAGATTAGCCAATCGTACACTTAATTGTTGAATAAATCCTCTTGGGTTGATAGTGCCTTCAGAAACAACGTGGGACATCCACAGACTAGGAAAGAAGTGTTTGGTCAGAACTAAGCTTATATAATTCTCTGAATTATTTACAATAGTCTTCTCAACCTTGTTTTATATATATATATATATATATATATATATACACACACACACACACACACACACACATATATATATATATATCAGAGGAGAAAGCTTTGTAAAAATTTTTACAAATTAAATCACTAAATTAATTGAGGGTCAATCATGCATTTCTTGTAAATAGATGACATACAACTTTTCATCAAGCTATCTCCCAACAACAGTGAGGTAAAACTGAGTTTTAAAGACAGTTTCTCAACTGATTTATTACTCTGTCCCCCACAAAAATTGTGTACTGGCTTTGAAAATTATGTCTAGATCATAACCAGCCTCTCAGTATCCCGGCTTATTCATTATATCACAGTTGTGGGTGGTTTATTTCGTACTGTATTACTAAAAGCAATTATCAATAAAATATGACAAAAGCAAGTAGATACAACCTTCTTCACCCCCATCCTTTCGATCTCATCAGGGAATGCCCATATATCTTTCATCAGTGGTTCTTAACCTTGGTTGGCCATTAAAATCATCTGGGGAACTTTAAAAGCTAACAATGCTTGGATCCCATCCCCAGATTGTGATACAGTATTATTGAGCTGGGATGTAGTCTGGACGTTGAGAGGTTCAAGGCTGCACAGGTGATTCTGATTTGCGGGTGAGGCTGAGTGCCATTTGCCTATCTTGTGAGACAGTCTCACCTGCCTTACCCTGACCAATAACCAGGAATCTTGTCCCAGGTATTTCAGCCATTTTTGGAATTCGTTCTAGTTTTGGTATCAGTTTAGTGTGTTCACAGATTTTGTGTTAATACCCTGCAATTTCTTTAATTCCTTCCACATGAAACAATACAGAAGATTCAAGGTGAAAGAACTCTTTAAAGCTAATATTTAACCAACCATTTATTGTATTTCATGTAAGTAGTTAATAAGAAATCTACTGTAGAACACAGTGACTGCAATGTGTAAACATGTAATAAATATGATTTGGTCTGTATCTTTGTCCAAGAAGCAGCAGCCAAAAGATTCTTTATACCATCTTCTCCTAAACCTACCTGCTGTCTGTTGCTTTTATTAATAAAGCAATGGCATGTATAATCATGGTATGTTTATATCACTTTGGAGACAGGAAAGGGATTTGAGTTTATCAGTCTTGAAATTTTACCATTATCGTCTAAGGTGCCCTCGGATGAGGAGAATCGTTTGTACCAATGGGAAACCTTAAATTCGAAGGCAGTTGCCGTAGTGATTATGCTACTCACAACATCTTAGCACCACAGGTGTAGTGTTTCTTTGCTGAATCAGGAATGGGAAGTGGGAACTGATTCTTGATGGGTAAAGTCAAGAGAAGAATTCAAATGGCAATGATGATATTTTATATAGAAAGAGGGTAGCTGATAAAATCTTAGTAGTGCATATAGAATCTCAGCTGATACTGCCTCTTTCAGAGTTTACAGAGCATTTTTTTCTTAATCAGTTTTTTTTTTACCATTAATAGGGAATTGATTACATATTAGATGGGTTATTGAATGATAAAAGCATTGTTCTAGGAATTTTATAATTTTCAGTCTTTATTCAGTTAAAGAATAAACAAGAATATTTTTCTTTTTATGTTCTAACAGGCACCAGAAGTAATCAGAATGCAAGATAAAAACCCCTATAGCTTTCAGTCAGATGTGTATGCATTTGGGATTGTTCTGTATGAATTGATGACTGGACAGTTACCTTATTCAAACATCAACAACAGGGACCAGGTACATATTCACCATCTCTTGGGGTTTATTTACTATTTACATAAAGTTTCCAATTCATTGTAGATAAGAAGTGTTGAGTCCTGGGTAAGTATGAGGGATAGATCTCTTGATCTTTGTTACCAGTTGTAAAAACCTATTGTAAACTTTTGGTAATAATAGCATATAAGGCCGATCCTTGACATACCATTCTTAATTAAGCATTGTAATGGAGTGCAGTTCCTGCTCTTCTGACTAGAAACCAGAGCTACACCAATGGGCATACCTCATGTCTCTCGACCGTGGAGCAGTGAGAACAATGAGCTCTGTAACTATGGCATCTAGGCTCTGTTACATCTGTCATTGTATCACAGGTTGTGCTACCTGAGCAGGTACTCGGCCATGAACTTACTTATATCAAACTCTTTAAAAAGTATTAATGTTTCCCCTTTTTTAATTTTTAAAACTAGGTAAATGGAAGAACTGTGACATCATGCTTTCTTTTTTCTATAACAAGAATTCTAGTAGGAGGGAATTTTTTTACTTCTCTTTTCTTGAGTTCCTGTTCTGTGTTCCTTACCTTCCAGAAAGAACCAATGTAGCACATGCAGCTCTTTTCCTTTTCTGTCCTAGCCATGTGAAATTCACCTAGGTTTTTAACACTGGCCAAGAAAAACAAATTCTCTTTGCTGAAATTACCTTGTATACTTCAAAATTTTAAAGTGGGTATGCACGCGCATGAGAAAGAGATACAGTAGTTGCACTGTTAATAGAGTAGAAAACAATAGTTTACTCTATAAACTAATTAGTATTTATAGTTTGTGCTGTGGTTTGTCTCAGAATCACCTGGGTATTTTTTTTTTAATGGAGATGCTGGAGCGGACTCTGACTCAGTGGGGTGGGGTCCAAGCACCTGCATTTTTAGTAAGTTTCCCAGGTGATTCTGATACACGCAGAAGTCAAGAATCACCAACCTAAAAAAAAAAAGAGTGCAAACACTTCATTATAACCTCCCAACCTAATGAAGTAATAGTTTTTATGTATAAATGTGTTACTTCATTTAAGCAGCGGGTGTGTGTTTTGGTGAACAGCTCCCACTGTGTCTTTTGGATGACAGCTCTGAGTAGCTTCCTCACTGAGAACTTCCACTGTCATGTGATGTCAGAGAAACAATCTAAGCTATCATGTACTTGGCATACACTTATTGAATCACCGTGTGGCCCTTACGCAACAGTGGTCTTCAGTCTGTATTTGGAGAATTTTTTTAAATGGCTACATTTCTACCCACATCAACATAAAACTAATTTTTTAGTTGCTGTTTGATCTTTCTAACTATTTCGTACCTTTAGAATGTTGAATTTTAGCTTTACCTGTTAATAAGAATCTATGCCCTGGCTTCTGATGACCTGATGTTTTAAGCCTGCATGAAACTTAGATTCAGGATGGACCAAAATGCTCACTGAAGGGCACAATTGAAACATTGCACTTACTGTCCTTGTGATAGATTCTAGATCAGAGATGATTGATCTGATGATGGCAAGATTGTCATCTGAGTCAATTGTCTCTAATTTGCAAGCTTTGTGTGTTCCGCCTTTTACAGTCTTATTAACTCAACCACACAGCACAATGCCCTGTACCATGCTCACTTTTCCTTTGCGTATTATTTTTCTAGAGGAATTATAAGGGAATTTTAATTTAGTTTTAGTTGGTTCATCATCGAGACTACAAACAAAAATTTATGAACTTAGATAAAACCCATTGTCAGTGGATATACTTATTTTTATAAAATAATAAAATTGTATTATGGAAACGAGTCTTATTTCTAAAATATGACTCAAAGCATCCCAGAGTTCTGCACTCATCCACTTCATGGGAGTGTAATAAGTGATGTGGCAAGGGCTTACTCTCCATGAGAGAAATAAGTCAGTGACCAACAGAAGGGGAAGGCCTTTACTAGTTAACTCTTTCTGGTAATATACTTAGAGACTTCTGGAATTTGCCAGTCCAAAACCAAGTTAAGTATTTGATAAAGAAAACGGAGGTAGAAGAATGATATATTCTTCTCATTACTATTCTCCTTCATTATCTTCTAGTCTGCTCCCTTCGAATGGCATTTTCCATGAAACTCCCTCTTTTGAATCGATTAGTCATCCTCAATGAAGCAACCACAGGCATTGCTTCATCCATCCCCTTAATTTGATTTTCCTTTCTCTTTCTCTTATATTTTGGTCTCCGTGGCTCTCAGATTGGACTCCTGCTTGAAAATCTAGGAATATTCTTTTTCATGGGAGCTGGAAATGTTGCTTCCTTATTACATAATGGGAACCAATCCCCTACACTCTCATGCCCATAGTCTGAGGTGGGAGTTTTTTACTGTAAATTCAGGGCAGGACTCTGGTAAAGCAATGTGACGTCATGGTAGACCCTGGACTCACAACCTGCATCACCTGGTCACTTTACCTCTCTAGGTTTTGTGGGTTTTTTTCAGTTATAAAAATGAGAAATTGGGCTAAAGAATTCCTTCTAGTTATAAAGATCAGGTCTCTTAGCTTTCTGAGGAATGCCCATGCCTGTTACTTGGCGGAGTAGCATGCCGTTTATTTCAGTTACCCAAGTGCTGGAAGTCTGAAAAATTGCTTTGTCATTTTTTCCCCTCTTTATTATTCCAGCTTGCTCTTTAATTGTTCTTCCCTCTCACAGTGAAGCTTTTCTGAATTGGAATTAATAATGTGCTCATTTAAGCTAAATATATGAACTGTCTACACTCATGGCTTTTTTTTTTTTTTTTGGAGCAGAAGAGCTGTGTCATCTTAGAAGAAAATAACATAACATTTATCTGTTACTTCAAGTGTATTCCAATTATTATTGCTGTATAACAAACCACCCAAAACATAGTGGCTTAAGCAAATTCTGACTCTGCCATTTGAACTGCTCTCAGTTCAAACTAAGGAATGTTTCTCTCTGCTTCACATGCTCTTGGCTGGTAGATTCACTGGGTGTTAAAGGATCCACTTCCAAAATGGCTGATTCCCAGCCTGACGTGTGGTGCTAGCTGTCAGGTGCAGGCTCAGTCGGGGCCTGGGCCAGGGCCCTTGCTTCCTCTCCACATGAGTCTTTCTGGGAGGACTTCTTCACAGGAAGCCTGGACTTTCTCACAGCGTGGTGGCTGGGTTCAAAGCCCAAGTTCTCAACAGAAAGGAAATGATAAGAACCAGTGCCTTATCAACACGCACATTATTTTATTATAACAAAAAATTTTGATACCTACTATATATATGCAAAGCGCTCTGGGTTCTACAGGAATACAGAGATGAATATGAAACACGGGTTGTGCTTCCAGTGGAGTGTACAGTTCTGATGAGGCCTGAGGAGTGCAGGGGGCCGAGGAGGAGCAGACGTGCTCCAGTGATACAGACGAGTGGGTGAGGGGTGGAGGTGCCAGGGCTGTCGAGTGTGGACTGAGAATGAAAATCACCAGCCCCAGAATTTCAAGCTATTGATTTTGTACTGCATGTGCCACTTGAATCGTCTATCCATGAATGACGTCCAACAAAGACTTTCTCTTTAAGTTTAAATAATTGCAAAGAATGTTAATTTCCAGTGTATTAACATTTCAAAATAAAGCCATAATATCCTTCTTTTAAATGTACCCACTAAAATCTACTGATTTGATTTCTACCATCATACTGATTTGCTATCTACCATCACTTGTTTTAAAAAATACAAAAGCTCTTCATTAATTTTTGGAAGTTTTATATTAGCTCTCTTATTCTTCTTTGACCTATTTGTAGTCAGTCTACTTACCCCACAGAATTTTTTCCTAATGTAACATATTTTTATGCTTTAAAGTATTTTATTGATCACTCAAGTTAATCTCTGCAACCAATATTAATGTATTTGAATTTAGAATTGAAAATATTTTTCCTCTGAATGTTAATTTTTTAAATTCTGAATTATGCTGTGGTCAATAATTATTAATAATAACTGATGAAGATAACATAAGTTTTAACACATAGAAACATCAAAGGTAAAATTTTGTTGGAAATGTGTATCTTGAACAACATGGGGCTTTTCAATTCATTCACATATTTGTGGATAAATATAACTTTTGCTAAAATGAGCTAGGACTTAGCATCAATTCGTTTCCTTGCTTTATTTTTAAAGAAGCACTGAGAAATATTGTTCAAATAAATAAGAAGATGAGACAATCAGAAATTTCATTATAACCACATGCAGAGTTCAGTAGTCCCCAAGACCACCCTCAGGTTCAGTAATTTATCAAGTATCATAGAACTCACTGAAAATGGCTAATACTCAGTTACGATTTATTACAATAACAGGATACAAATTAAAATCAGCCAAGGCATCTCGGGCACAATCCAGGAGAGTTTCACACGTGGGGGTCCCAGTCGTCCTCTCCCAGTGGAACTGTGGACAGCGCTAAATTTGGTAGCATGTGTGACAACGCGCACAAAGTGCCACCAGCCCAGGAAACCCACTGGAGCTTTGGTGCTCAGTTACTGGGGCTCAGGCATGTAGACAGGGCTGACCACCTCCGTGGCCTACCTTAGTTTTCAGTCCCTCCAGAGGCCAAGCTGATACTACAAGTCAAAGCCCCCTCTATAAATCACATTGATAGCATAGATTATCTCCCAAAGCCCCCAGTTAAACAAAGACACTCATCAGGCAAGACATTCCAACAGTTTAGGGATTACCTCCCAGGAGCCAAAAGCAAAACCAGCCCTCTACATGAGTAAGATTAATTCTTTACCATACACTGTTACCTCTCAGTTATTTGAATTCATTTCTGCAACGTACCAAAAATTACATAGTAACTTGTCATTGAAAATTATTTTAATAATCAGCTGATAATTCAGTTAATTTTACTGAAAGCAAAGAATTGGAAGCCAACTGCCTTGCAAAGGGATTTGCTACCCATGCTTTAAAGCCCAGTTAGACACCAGTATTTGGAAGTGTCCCTTTGGTATCCCAGTAGTTTTACACCCCGGAACACTGTATACTATAGTGAAATTCCATCTTGGTAAACGGTAACTTTTGTAAAATGGGAAAATGGCGGTTGTGATAGGGGAGATGGGAAAGGAGTATAAGCTTCATACCTCCACTTCCGTGGTACTTGGGCACATCAGCTTACAGTTAAACAAGGGTTACTATAGTACCAAACAAGAAATAACATAAAGTAGAATATCAAACTGGGCTGGTCCTAAAATTCATCAGCTCTGCCCTGTAACAAGGATCTCTTCCTGGCTCTCTCCACCTTAGCCTCTGGCCTGTGCCTATTGGACCTGTTCCCTCTAAGATTAAAACCCCTCTCTCCTCCCAAGTCCCAAGAATCCTAACACCTGTCTCTGCCCACTCTCAAAAGAGTTGAAAGTTAGAAAATTAAGAAATTAAAAAAATTACAAATCTCTGCACCAAGGGAAGACAAGCCTTTTTACTTGATTAAACAGAAGATTTTAGTTCCCAGTGGCTTCGCCACCTTCTTACCTCTGGAGGAGACTGATTCTCAGATTTCTATACATGCCCCAGTAGAGTCCCCTCAACAAGAGTTTCAAATGCAGATGCCAAAACAACTGCTAAAAAGATTAGCTTTTTTGGTTCCTGCTGCATGTATATAAAGGACTTAGCACGATGCCCAATAAATTATTTAAGTAGGAAAGAGGCATGATTCAATCTGTAGTTAGAGCGATTACCCTACCAGTGGGAAAATGTGTTGGATAAGAAGAGACGGGAGCTTCGGGAGCGATTAGGAGATCTTCACAATATTCCAGGGGTCATGGAGATTTCAGCTCGCAGCCCATGAAGTTTTGGTTCCCAGTCCATGTATAAGCATCAGAATGCTAGCATTTTGTTTTTAAACTGTTTATTGAAATGCAGTGTACCTATAAAGAAGTACATATGTCATTAAATGCATAACGTGTTGAATTTTCAATATTTATGGATTTTTCAACTTCTCTCCAAGGTTTATGATTTGCCCTTTTGTTTCTTCCCAGATAATTTTTATGGTGGGACGAGGATATCTATCTCCAGATCTCAGTAAGGTACGAAGTAACTGTCCAAAAGCCATGAAGAGATTAATGGCAGAGTGCCTGAAAAAGAAAAGAGATGAGAGACCACTCTTTCCCCAAGTAAGAAAAAGCTTCATGATATCTAAAAGGACAGACTGGTGTTCAGATACAGATTGTTAAGCTTTTTAGAGCACGCAGTTTATATGTCACGATTTGGATTCCATGTAATTATGTGCAGAGTCCAGATAAGTAAACACAAAGATGAATTTTATAAAGGTTGAACGAACAGTGGTATACCTAGAAAGTTGGGACCCCAGTGTAAAATATTCAGAAAGATTTTGCTTTGTCGCCATTCTCAGACTTTTTGGTCTTGGAACCTTTTTACACATTTAAAAAAGTATTGCAGACTCCCCCGCAAAGACCTTTTGTTTATATAAGTAATAATTACTATTTTAGAAATCAAAACTTAAGTTTTTAAAATACTTAATTATAAATGTATTTAAACATAATAAAGCCATTACCTATTAAATAGTATTTTATGAAAACTAATTCTTTTTTTCCAAACAAAAAAATTAGTGAGAAGAATAACATTGTTTTGCATTGTTTACAAATCTCTGCAAAAAAAAAAAAAAAGACAACTGGAAACTCTGCTTTGCATCCATTATGTTGCACTATTTTACACCATGTAGCCTCTGAAATTCCACTTAAAACACTTGTAAAATACTAACAGTAAAAAGAACTGATAATATCTTAGTGTTATAATGAGAATAGTTTTTCCACAGCCCATATTTATAGAATCACTGCTTTAATTCTTGTTGGTACAATAAACAGATTCCAAGCTTCCCTTTAATACTTGGTCTTTTTGAGGTGCCTTTCACCTGGGACAGAAAGAAAAGCAACCGTCAGCGCTGTCTGCCTTTTCCTGATTTTTGGAAATTTTCCATTGCTTTTTATCTGTTCATGTCATGAGGATAAAGCCCTTAAATTAGTAATCTGAGTACCTTAACAAGCTTAGAAAGTTTAGCTGTAGTAGATTTTGTGACATATATTCAGGTTTTTTTGATGCTTAGGAAGCTCCTGATAGCACTGTAAAAATGTGTCTCATTTGGGCGGGCCGAGTGGCATATTGGTTAAGAGCTGGCTTGGGACGCCACAGGGCCCCGGTTCGGATCCCACATATAAGGGCCAGTGACACTGCCCTCCACAGCTAAGATGCTGAACAACAGCTCAACCTGGAGCTGGGCTGCCATGAGTCGCCGGCGATGGCATAGGCTGCAGCCCCTGCTGCAGTGGGTTGCCATGGGCTACCGTGTGTAGCCCAGCAGCCAGCGTGAGCGGCCAGCAGCCACCGTGAGCGGCCGTCCAGAAGCCGGCGACTCATCTGCCTCGCCCGGGAAGAGAGCAACGATGGTGCCAACTTGGGCCAGTGAAGCAACGTCCTCCACAACTAGACTGAAAAACAAAAGGACAGCAACTTGTCTGTTCCCCTTCCCCCAATTCCCCAGTGCTGTTCCCATCCCCCAATTCCCCAATTTAAAAAAAAAAATCTTTGGAGAAAAAAAAAAAAGTGTCTCAGTAAATCAGTACAGTTTTCAAATGGGAAGTGCTGACTTCCCTACTTACTCAGCTAACATAATTACTCAGTAAGTCCTGTGTGGACCTTATGCCTTTGAATACTCAATCCTAGGTGAGTTTCTCAGACAGAAGTCACTGCCACAGGAATGAGTGACTCTTTTCTTCCCATCTAAAGAATTAAAGGTAGAATTTATAGTTTTACCAAGTCTTTCAGGGGCTGTCTCCAATCAGGGAGGGGAAGCAAAAACAGGTAGATGCATGTTTTACAAATTTAAATTCTAAGTTACTATTCTTTTGAGGAAGAAATTTTTTTGTTTTGTTTAGTTTTTAGCCCAGAAAATCACTGGTTTAAGACCATCAAAGTAAAAGACCAGTATTGTTGGCAGTGTCAGCAAGACCCTGTACCATGTTCTTTTCACATCCCAGGTGCTAGGGTTTCCTGTTTAACACAGTTGATGTACATTAATAATGCAAATTATATCCTTAGGCCCACTTTTGAAGTTGCATTAAATGGGACAAATTGTTCATATTCCTAAATGTAAATAACATTTCATTCTTTTCATGGTATTAGAAAATGAAATGCATACATGAATTTTCCAGACTATTGAAAGCTACCCCTTTAAAGTATTACTTTTAAATTTTCATTACAGGATCTCTTTTCATGCTACACACAAACATAGATTTCACATGGCTAAAGACTTATGTGTAAAAAACAAAACTATTAAAAATGAAATCATTTTTATAACCTTTGAGGTAGGAAAGGCTTTCCTAAGCAAGAGACAAAACCCAGAAGTTACAAAGGAAAAGATTAGCAGGTATGACTACATTAAAAGTTTTTAAACTTTATATAATAAAAATAATATCAAATGATAAACAGAGAGGAAAATAATTATAGCATGTATAACAAAGAGTAAATATTTGTGTTATGCAAAGGACTCCTACAAATTCATCAGTAAAAGATCATAGAAAATGAGCAAAACATATGAACTGGCAATTCACAAAAGAAATACAAATTTTAGGACGAGATGTTAAGAGTTCAGTGACAGTAAAATGCAGGGTCACACAGTAGTGAAATACATTTTCATTCTGCCTCTCAGAATGGCAGCAGCCAACATTGGGAACAATGTTGGGACGTGAGGAAGAGCCTTCCTTTTAAATTGTTTAGCAGTGTTCATGGAATGTAAATTGGTTTGGCCTTTTGAAAGGCAGAATCCATAAACTTAAAATGACATATACCCTTGGCTCTCGTAATTACACTCCTAAAAATCTGTACTGCAGAGCCTGTCCCCACAAATATTCCGATATATACAAGAATGTGTACTGTAATAGGAAAAATTAAAGACACGAAGATCAATGTAGCTCTCTATAGATGGCATGGGTATCAGTAAGGGGAAAAGCAAGGCAGAAAAATACGTGCATGACACCACTTTAGAGGATGCTGAGAGTAGGGATGGGCTCTGTTTTCATATGTGCATGTTGATGCATAGGAAGCGTCCAGGAGAAAGTATAGACTCTTTAACGGGTTACCTCTGAAAGGTCGGATTTAAACACTTTTCTGTATTATTTGAATTTTTATTTGTGTGTTACGCTTATAATTTTAAAAGTTTTGTAACATTGCTTCTTTGCCTTCTTATACTAATTATTATACAGATTGTAGTTTAACTTTTAAAAGTTTCGGTAGCTCAGAAAAATAATCATAGTCATACTAATGGCCAATGATGTTTTCTTGAGTACTTACAATATGCCAGGCCTCGTGCCAAGCCCTTGATACATAATGTCTCATGATTATGAACGTGCATTATCATATATATGCCTTCAAGAGTCATAACCGGTTCCTTTTTCCTTAAAATATGCTGAATCTATATGATTTGTTTATTGGTGTCTTTTTGTAGAGTTTTCCTGTCTTCTGCTTTACTCTTGGATTGTCACCTGGCACTTATCACTCCTGTGCCACTAGCAGTCTGGGTCTTTGGGGGCCTGCTTTTAATGATGTGCGTGTAAAACATATCTCCTTACTAAGTTTCTTTAAAGAATGATTTGCTCTGACGGTTCTGTTAATGAAGTCATACAGTACTTTACTTATTCAGGCTCCCATCTTCCCAAAAGGGATTTGTGGTCTGTGAGAAATAGACACGTAATTGGTTTTTCAGTTTTTTATTATTTACTGTTCCAAAGCTGACAAATGATCAAAAATGTAAATAAAAGCTAACTATGGGTTATTGTCCCCATTCAGTTTACAGAGATTAAAGCTGTAGCGGTTGGGTGATTTTCTTTTTAAGGCAAAATATCAGTTTCTTAAGTATTTTTCTAGGCATTTAGGATAATATTGAAAACAATGTAAGATTTCAGGTGCTTTCATGTAAAGTATGATGGGGCTCTTAAAGATTACTACCACGTAGATTTTCATTCTTCTTTCTTTTTTTGCCTCTTTTAGATTCTCGCCTCTATTGAGCTGCTGGCCCGCTCATTGCCAAAAATTCACCGCAGTGCATCAGAACCCTCCTTGAATCGGGCTGGCTTCCAAACAGAGGACTTTAGTCTATATGCTTGTGCTTCTCCAAAAACGCCCATCCAGGCGGGGGGATATGGTGCGTTTCCTGTCCACTGAAACAAGTTAAACGAGTGAGAGAGCATAGGAGGGTAGGGAAAAGGAAAATGAATACGTTTGCTTGCATATTTCTTAAATTTAATAGAGGTGGTTTTTTTTTAACGTGAACCGAAGAACACTTATGTTTCTAAAGACTGGATATAATTTTTACCTGATCTAAAATTCATACTTAGCATTGGATTTTCGACATCCAAGGTTTTTTTTAAAATGCACTGACATAGCTAAACGTTTGCAGTGCCTCTTCCAGATGTTTTACTTCCTGGTCCAAGTTTGTTGTGTTTACTTGGTTATTCTAATTATTAAACTGCAGTTAACCTTTTCCCATGCACTTAGTAACTGTCACACGTCCAGTAGGGTCTCCCGAGCACAGCACCGCTGCTGCACCTGTGTGGGTAGCTGTCAGGTCAGGCAGACCAAACAGATCTCATTTAGGAAGTCACTAAAATTGAATAAGCTTATTTTTATTCTTAGTATTTTTTATAATGATTTCTTTTTATTACAGTTCACAAATGAACGTCCTTTATTCCCTTAATGCAATAAGTTAAATTTCTTGTGTAAATTGTGGGTGCGGGAAACCAAAGCTGTTGCTGAGGACTGACATGTTTGACATGACGAACGCAGTTCAACTTTGGATTTTAAGTGGGGGAATGTTATAAATTAGAGTCCCTTTTAGAGACTTCTTTATATATTAAGGATATCTTACACATGTAGAAGCTGAATTTCCTTAAAAATGCACTTCCTCCCCCCAAAAGGCTTCACAGAATCCCGTGAGAACTCTTAGATTTGTTTGTTTTTCATTTAGAAATCTCTGGTTGCCAAACACCAGGTAATGGTTTTTTGAAAATTATGATTACTTTATATATCTGTTGTGATGCCTGTTTTCACTATGACCTTATCCATGTGTCTCATAAAATTTCTGTGCTCCTGATATTCTTTGCCCAGGAAGATTCTCCTTATTAAGAATGAATTCTCTGTTTTGTGTTTCCCTGTCTGAAGTACTTGTTAGCACTTTCTAATGCTTACACTTTCTTGTGTAGAAAGTGACAATAATGTTGCAGTCAGTATATTCTTACTGTGAACCATGGTCCTCCTGGGAGTCAAAGTGAAAGAAGCAGCACTGCTGTCGTCAGAGAATTGTCACCTCTACTTCATTTTTTTTTAAACATTTTTATTGGGGAATTGGGGGAGGGGAACAATGTTGGGGAATTGGGGAGGGGAACCAGCCAAGTTGTTGTTTTTCGATCTTCATTGTAGAGAGCACCAGTCACCATCTGGCTGCCCATCGGCAGCTCGTGGCCTCTAAGCTCAAGGTGTTGTGTTCAATCTTAGTTGCGGGTGGGCGTAGCCACCATCCCATGTGGGAGTCAAACCAGCAGCCTTGATGTTAAGAGTGCACGCTCTATCCACTGAGCCATCCGGGTGGCAGCTCAGCTCAAGGTGCGGAGTTCAGTATTAGTTGCACGTGGGCATAGCCCACCATCAAACAGGCAATCTTGTTACACCAGCTGAGCCATCCTGCCACCTGTTGGCAGCTCAGCGATAGCTCAGCTCGGGTGCAGCATCACTGGCCCATGTGGGAATCGAACCAGCGACCTGTTGCTCAGAGCTCGCGCTCTTAAGCTAACTCTAAACCAACTGAGCCACTCGGCTGGCCCCTCACCTCTACTTCAGAGTCAGCCTAGGGACCAAAGCCAGTCTCTTAAATACATCTCCATTTATTCACTTGGGATTTGTGATGACGTTTAAATGTAGCTGACAGTTCAAGGTTATTCAGGCACACAGACAACATCTGCATAAATGATATCCTCCTTTGAAGCCAATAAAGAAGAAAATTGAGAAGACTTTAAAATAATGATAACTTAATTTTTAAGTACCACAGATACATTTTGAAATACTTTTTTTATTGGAATAGGTTAGATTTCATCCATGGAAGCCTTCAGTGATAAATATGGCATACCTTTTGCCCTCTCATTTGGGTAGCTTAAGTAATGCTATTTGTGTTTTTAAAAATTAATTCGTAAATTTCATTTTAGGCAAGAATAGTGAAAAAAAGCATTTCTTGTATTTTAAAAAATAAGAATAAGAAAGACATAAGATAATGTAACATGTTGGAAAACATCAAAGTGCATAATTTCTAAATCTTCCAGTGACACTAAAGATACAATTATTAGTAATTCTTAGATGGGGTTTTATTCACAAATTGAATAGCAAGCAAGTAGCTAACACAGCTTTAAGAAAATTGATTTGGTCTCTGGAAATCTCTTAGATTTGGGCATTTTGAGGCACAAGAGTCAAAGGATCTTTTTATTGATAGTACTCTTTCTATAATTCCCCAGTATACTTGCTTTACCTTTATCTCCCTCTCCTTGTACACTCTATTTTTCACCCCAACACTAACCACTGCCCAGGACCCCACCATCTACATTGGAGTCCTTCCTTTGTTTACCAGTCTCCTATGCCAGAGCACATACATTGCTAAACTCTTACAACTGCCATCCCATAAACATTGGAACATGCCTCCAAAGGGTCACATAGTAATTCTCTTCCTTCCATTGGAAATGTTAGCGGAAGAACATTACAAATATAGCAGGTGAGATGTTTAGATAATATAGACCCAGAGAAGTCAAAAGCATTAGAATGATATATGATAGTTTTCCTTTGTGTTGTTTGTTTCATAATGAGTTCCAGATACATCCTCCAACTAAAGAAAAACATTATTTTCCTAACCATAGGTAAACCTGATAACTTTAGGCAATTGAAACAGAAGGACGTTCGTTCTTTGATGACTGCTTCTTTCCTAAAACCTGAACCCCTTAAATTTTCATTAAAGTTGATTTCCTTCTTCAGGAGGCAAGCTTTTTATAAAATTTGTTTCACATTTTAAAAGTTTGACTAGCCAATGATGAGGGATGAGATTTGTCTTCTTAAATTTAAGTAGTTTAGATATCACAGCATTTAATCAAATGTTTCAGGTTTGTTTATTTTCCAGTATTACAGTATTGTGCTAGCCATTTAAATACTGAACCAGTAGTTAAAATCACTCTCTCTAAACTAGTAACTGTCTCACACACCAGCTTAAATGGCCTTTCTCTCAAGGTGGTCACTCTCAATGTAAGGAAATTATCTACCGTATTTGCCGGCGTATAAGACGATTTTTTGGCCCTGAAAAATATGCCTCCAAGTGGGGGGTCGTCTTATACGCCAGGTACACATATCGTTCAGGCATCAGCAGCGCTGCTGGGTG